GAGCCAGCAGGAGCTTCCCTGTGCCTGCCTGGAAGGAGCAGGGAAATGGGATTGGGATGGTCTGGTCTGGCCTCCAGTTTGGGGCTCTGAAGACAGGAGCAAGCACAGGGGATGATTTTTCCCTCCCTGGCACTGCTGGGGTGCTCACACACCCAGGATTAATTTCCCCATCATTCCAGCACCTCTTTGATTCTGGCCACTCACATTATTATTATTACTATTACTACTACTACTATTATTATTATTATTATTATTATTATTATTATTATTATTACTACTATTACCATTACTATTACTATTACTACTAATAATAATAATATTAATGTTATTAATGTTATTAATGTTATTAATGTTATTAATATTATTAATATTATTATCTCCTGTTTATCCAGAGCCAATTATTGGAGGATTAGAACACAGCATCTGCCCCTGTGTGTGTGTGTAGATGCATAAATAAAGAACTGGAAATCAAATAAAAGAAACACATTGGATTTTTTTCTGTCCTTCTTTTTTTTTAAATTTTATTTTTTTTTTTGTCTTGCCCCCCTTCCAGCCATTCACATTCAGATAAAAAAGACCTGGAAGGAAAAGGCTTGGAGAGAAGCAATGGGAGAAAAGTTTGCAAAGGGCAGAATCAGTGGGACCCTGCAGAACAAACATGTGTAAAGGCTTTGTTTCAAAGTGGATGAATGCAAAAGCCTGTTGGGGATAATTTTTAGGCTTTGCCTATTTTGAAAGGGTTGAGGATCAGGAGTAAAGTGAGAAAACAATTCTCTGTAGGAAGCTGTAGCAGACTAAATGGAGCTTGTTGTTGTTGGCAGGGGCCGTGATGCTGAGGGCAGCAGCATCGTTACTGAAGCTGGAGGCAGCAGAGGTTTAAATAAATAAGGAGAGATCCCTGAGCCGAGATAAAACCAGGATCTGACTGTGCTGGGCCCTGCCGTGCTCCGGAGCAGGGAGGGCAGGCAGGGTGTGAGGAAAGGGAGATGGAGGAGGGAGAGCAGGCTCGGAGCTCTGTCTCCTGCTCGGAGTGTTGGGAATCCATGGCAGAATTCCCGAGGAATGGGGAGTTGAGTTGTCCATCTGCACAGCCCCACAGAGGGAATCGGGGCATGGCACGGCCAGGAAGCTCCTGGGATCTGCTCAGAGCCCCAAGCCACAGCTCAGGGATCTTTCCTTTCCTTCCAGTGGGAACCAAAGGGGAGAAAAGTCCCTTTTCCATGGCCCTGCTCTGGAGCAAAGCCCCAAAAAGTGCTGGGATTATTCCAGCATTAACACAGGATTCATCCCAACCTCTCCCAGCAGCATCAGGAACAATAAAAACTCCATGAAATCCTTGCACGAGCAGCGCTGAGTTCAGGAAGGATTTGGGAAATTCTTCAACCATTCCCTAAATCCAGCAGGGATTGGGGATGTCAAGGGCAGGTGATAAGAGCCTGGCCTGGGCAGGGAACCCCTGATCACAACCAAACCCTGCAAAGAAACATTTTTGCAGCTTCTGTCCACTGGGTTATCCTCCCACTCCCAGAAAAAAACTCATGGGAAGGCTGCTCTGGACAAAATTCCCAAGATAAAGGGACAGCAAAGCAGGAAAGAGGGCAGGAATGACCTGCTCCTGCTCTGGGATGAAAACAGCAGTGCAACAGCAACATAGCCAGGCAAAATATCCCTGGGATCCCAATTTTCCCTGTTCTGAAGGAAAATCCTGGCTCTTAATTAAGGATCTGGGTTGTAGGGATGGAGGTTAAACAGAAAAAATGGGGATTTAAAAAGATACCTATTTATATTATTTTTATTATTACATTTTTAAATATTTATTATTATATTTTACTATATTTTATTATATTTATAATTATATTTTATTATATTTATTATTATATTTTATTATATTTATTATTATATTTTAATATATATCATAGTTTCTTACATTTATTATTATACTTTTGTTATAGTTATTATATTATTTTATATGTGTATTATAATTTATTTATGTTATTATATATTTATATTATTTTAAATATGTATGTTTTTATACCTATTTTTTATATTTTTATGCATTTTTAAAATATTTTAATATGTGCCTCCATATTTAAGATATTCAAAATATTCCTCTACATTTTCAGGTTGGAGCATTTGCTAAATTCCCTTCTCCTGGAGTAAACTTTGAGGGGGGGGAAAAAAAAAATCAAAATAGTTAAGAAAAGAATTCTTCTTATCCTGGTTTTCTCCTCCAGCCTTTGTCACTGAGAATACATTTTGAAACAGTAAAAGTTGAGATAAAATAGCAAAGGAAGGCAGTTCCCTGCGCTTCTTCTGTTCCCTTTTGGTGGCTCCTTTGTTTTGATTTATGTGGCAATATTTCAAGTGGAGCCCAAAATGATATTTTGAGTGGCAGCTTTTGCTCCAGGCCACTTTTCCTCGTGGTTCCCTCGCCCGGGGCTGCCTCTGGTGCTGGATCCAGTCCCACAGGAGCAGAACCAGGAGCTGCCAGCAGTGCCAGCCTCTCCAGGGCACAAATATTCCATTTCTCCCCTCTACACGATGCATTTCTCCCAATCCCTAAGGTGGAGAACCTGGGGGATGCATCCCCAAAATCTCCTTTTCCTCCAGCTCAGCCCAGTTCTGTGACTGATTCCAGCAGGGACAGATCCATCTCCAATAAGGGACCAACGCTCGGTGTCCTGGGAGCACCGGAGCAGGACAAGGAATTTTCTTTTTTCCTAAGGTTTTTTTTTCCCAAATAAAGCCCTGTGACAATTCAAATCAGAACTTTTACCGTAATCAGGAAGAATTTGGATTGCACAGCCTGGCAATGTTGGGATGTCCTGTGCTGGACTCGATGATCCCTGAGGCCCATCCAGCTCAGGATATTCCCTATATTGGATAATATGGGATATTCCCTGTAACCCCACTGCCACCCACCTGATTCCTGGGACTGGGATCAGCAGTTCCTGTTGGAATTCCTGGGATCAAAGCATCCTGTTTGTAATTCCTCTGGGTAAACCAGAGCAGCGCTGGGGCACTCGGGGCTGGATAAAGACGCTTTGGTTCAGCAGGAAAATGGAACTGTTTTTACAGAAGCCAGCGAGGGAGGCTGGAGCCACCGATTTGGGATGATTACAATGAACAGAAAAAGTCAAGCCTGGAAGTGTTTATTTTAATTTAGGGGGCATGGCGAGCTGCTGAGGTGGGAAGATATTATTTTTATGGGTTTAATCAGATGGCCGGGGTTTGTGGGCGTTGCTAATTGAAAGCTGTCTGCCTCGCCTCAGCTTCTCTCCCGGTGCCTGGGAGGCAGGAGAAAAGCAATTATTTAGGCTGGGGAGGGGAAACAGGAACTGGGAGAGGTTTAGGGATAAAAAGGAAAAAAGGGGCTTCGTTTTGGAGGGAGAATTCCAACGTGTGTCCTGCGTGGAGATTGGAACCCATTTCCCTGCCCTGAGGTAAAGAAGGGTCAGCAAGGACTCGGGGAAGAAGCTGATCAGGACTTCCAGAAGGATGCTGAGGATATCCCAGCACCTGGAAAAGCAGATCTTGGGAGTTTTAGTAATTCCCAGGACTTGCCTTTTCCTTGTGAAGCTCCTCTGAGTGCCAGCTGATGGATCCTGGACCTCCCAGGACGCCTCATTTTGTGGATTGGGGAGGACATTTATGGTCCAAGACGTAGGAAAAGGCAGCAGCAGTCATCAAAACCGCCCAGCCACGCTGCACACTCAGCAAGATGTAAACTTGTTTGAGATTTGGCCACTCCAGGCAGCCCTGCAGATTTGCCCCAGCGATTTTCCCCACCGACCACCCCACACACCCAAAAAGAGAAACCAGGACATTTCTTTTTTTAAAAAAACCCAACCAAAACCTGCCCGTGGATGAGCTGGAGGGGCTCAGAGGGGTTTCTCCCTTTCATGGTTTGTTTTGTTTGTGGCAGAGGGATTTCCAACCAAACCAGCTGATGAAGAACAGCCCCAAAAATGCCACTTTTTGCCCGTGCCCCATGATGTCACCCCCCAAGCCACCAAGCAGGGTGTAAATATCCCCCAGGCTGGGGCCAAATGTGTCAGGCTCACGTAGGAGCCAGCCCCGAGCAGCGCAGTCCAAAAACACCATCTCCAAATATTTTCTATATCATAATTATACAAAATGAGTGGAAACTTCTGCCCCCTTTCCCCCAGCCCCAAAAAACACGGCCCATTATGAGCCCTGCCAAGTCTGCAGGAACATAAATAACATTGCAGGCTCTTTGTGCCGTGCAGGAGCTGAGAAGTGGAAAAATGATTGAGGGACAAGTGGTTTTTAAGATCCCCCCGAGGCCTGTAAGTTACCTGTTTATTTCAAGAAGAGCTGCAACTGCCAAAAGGAAAGGAAAGGAGTTCCTGGAGTTGCTATCATGGTCTGTTTCCAGGGATTATTTCAAAATAAACATGGGTTGAGTCTCTGTTTTGCTTTTCAGCCAATATTAATGCACACAGCGGGTACCTGGGTAGGGTGTGGGGTGCTCCAGGAAAGGCTCACCTGAGCTCAGGGGGTGGGAATGAGTCTGGATCTGCCAGGTGGGATCTCCAGGGCCAGGAATGACCTGGGGGGTTCCCTTTGGCCTCGGGAGATGCTCAAAAATGAGAATATCTGGTGATGAGACAAAAGGTGTTCAGAAACCCAGGGAACCCCACACATCAGCACCCCCAGCTCCAGGGGGAGGGGAAATGATCCTCTTTGTTCTGCATAAAACACCTCGGTTGAAAGGGAAATGGTCATAACTGACTCCTGAAAACGGAAGGGGAAAGATGTGAAGTCATCAGGGAGGATATTTCAGAGTGATAAAGGTGAGGTGGGAAAGGGTGTTGGAATAGGGGAAAGGGAAGAGAAGAGAAGAGAAGAGAAGAGAAGAGAAGAGAAGAGAAGAGAAGAGAAGAGAAGAGAAGAGAAGAGAAGAGAAGAGAAGAGAAGAGAAGAGAAGATTAAAAGCTGCAAGTCTCTGTTTACATTTTTTCATTAAAAATTCACATTTTAGCCCAGATTCATTTGTAGCACCCTGGTGCCTGTCCCAGAACCATCTCTGGGAGCATTTGAGCCAAACTAAAATGACATTTTTCACTTCCAGCCCAGGTGCCAGCCCGGTGATGCAATGCAGGTAATATGGGAAATGATGAGTGACGCTGTAATTGCAGAGGATCCCTGGCTGGGAAACAGAGATTGGAGTATGGGACGAAATAAAAACGATACCAGGAAAATAAAACCAGAGAAACTCCTTCCTGAAACTGCAGAATAAAGTGTTCCTGATAAGCTGCCACGAGGTTAAGAAAGAATATTGAGGCCTGGCTGGGTGTTTGAAGTGGAACCGCATTTTCTCTTTGCCTTTCTCAAATCTCTGCTGGATCCAGGGAACTTTCACCTGGCATCGAGGGAAGCTGTCAAACAAGTTCATGCACAACTTGCACAGCCCAGGTGTCTGCAATTCCCATTTTCTGAGCCACCCCAAAGCCCAGGCAGCTCCAGCTGACTTGTCTCATTCCTGCCCAGATGGCAGCCCCGATACTCCTTCGTTATCTCCACATCTCTGCGCCAATTCAATTAAAGGCTCCCCAGATTCTCATCTAATGAACAAAGCTAATGAGTGACAAAAGGTCATTAAGAATCCTGAGGCACCCAGGAGGGAGATCCAGAGGCAGATGAAGGCTCCTCAGCAGCTCAGGGTTGGAAATTTACTGCCCCAGAAAGAAAAACAAAACAGCTTTTCCCAAATGGGAAAAGAAGAAGTGGGATAAAAAAATCAGAGAGTTGAAAAATCCAAGGCTCCAACTGCTGAAGAATGATGGGAATGGGGACAGCAGGAAGGTCCACGATGTTTCCTTCAGCCCATCTGTTGATGGGAGCAGTCTGGGCTCTCCAGGAATCCTGGATGGATAAAAAGGCTGCCTGAGCCTTGGGAAAGTTCCTTCCCAAGTGCTCTGCTCATTGCCTGCCTTCCCTGTGCTGGAGCTGCAGATGGAGCTTCACCTCCTTCCCACTCCTCCTCTCCCCTTGTAATTTCTCTTCATCTCAGCAGGGCTTTGGGCTTTTTCTGGAGCACAGAAAAACTGTGGGATGAGTGGGAAACCCAATGGATTACTCCAGTCGTGTTTTAATTACCCCCAGCCTCGTCAGCAGCAGAAAGTGGCAGAGCCTTGGTGCTCTCACACAAGTTTTACAAGGACCTGTGGCTGTTCCCTCCCTGCTGCAGTCAAACACACACAGAAGGGCCAAGCACAGAAAATAAAGCAGGGAATGCTCCAAAGAATTTGAAGTTAACCTTGAAGGGCTGGAGAGACAGAACCATCCAGAGAAGGATGATTCTGGATAAAAAGAGCTGGAATATTCTCATTATTTAACTCAGATCTCTCATGGCTGGTTTGGAATTCCTTGGTGGGCAAGATTACTGATCCTGCTGAAAATTCCTCTGCATTTTGCTGTTGGGGTCGGTCTGGTTCCTTTTGGGATTCATGGAATATTTATTTTTTTAGCTGATTATCCATCCCCACCCCTTTGTTCTGCCGGGCTCAGCAGAGGCACCTTCTAAACAAGGGGCAGAGAGCTCCAGCCAGAACCTGCCACTGCACATTCCTTGGGAGAACCTGCACCTCCTTTGCCTTTGGTCCTAAAATTCCCTAGGGAAGGGCCACATCCCTCTAACTCCTGTCAGGGTGGCCGAGAGGAGACAGGTGCCAAACCCTGGGGAGCTCCAACCTCCTACCTGCACCCAGAAGACACCACAAGCCTGAAACCTCTTTTTTTTTTCCATGGGTAGAAATAAAATCTCAGCCTCCAGGCTTTTTTCAGAAGCGCATCCCTCTGTGGGGTTGCCCTGGCTGTGCCACTGAGCTGCAGCCTGCATTCCTGCTCAGCGTGGCTCCTTGTTTTCCAAAGGCAGTGGAAATTTTGTTTTGGAAACACCGCCGAGAGGGCAAACAGGAAGCAGGAAGGGCTTTTTCAGAAAGGCGAGAATCTTGAAGGCAGCGCAGTTTCCATTTTTCTGGGCTCCAGCCCACGAATGGGTTTTGCAACAGCAGCAAGATACGAGTGGTGAGGTCAAGAGCAAAGCAAACACGGAGCAGCCACAGAGAGCGACGTTCAAAATCGCCCGGTGGAGCTCTGAGTGTGCTCCACGCAGCCAGGACGCCTGGAAAAATAAAGAGAGATGCTGAACAGTCCCTGCAGTGCAGCTGTGTTATTGACAGATGGGATTAAGTGGTGGGAGTGCTCCGAGTGGGATATTTTTTGTACAAGCACGTTGCCTTTGTTTATTGTAATTTTGATTTTTAGTTATTTCTGCCGAGGCATTTGGGGACCTCTTCCCCCCGGAGCGCACAACCGGCTGTTTGTTCTTGTTCCTGTTCTCGCTGCTGTTTGATTTGGGCTTGTTGGAGGGGTTCAGCAGGGCCCTGAGGAAGTGCTGCAGCCCAGCCTGGCTGCTCAGCACATCCCAATGGCTCAGAAGCATCAAAAGGAGATGTTTTTTTTCACTTTTGCAAGGGCAAGAAGTTTGAGGAAGGAGCGGCACCATCCCTGTGACCCGACATCCAGGGGAACCCCCATGGTCCCCTCATGCTGAAGGAGATTTCCCTTCATCCCATCCAGCATCCAGCAGGGAGAAAAGGGCTTTTTCATCCCCTTTATTCCATGAACCCACTGAATTTAAATCTATCTTCCCAGCTCTGGAGCTTCCCCAAGGCTCCTGAAAAGATGCAAGGATGTTTTTTCACCCTGTTCATGACACACCTTGAGATGGGCTCATTTTTCAGTCCTGACAGGGTTGCTCTGTCGAATTCCCAGGCTCAATTTCCTCTGGAGTCAGTCAGACTTTTCCTCTGGAGAAGATGAGGATTTGAGGCTGGACAGGACAGGACTGGAGGGCTGTTCCTTTAAAAGAATAAACATCATACACCTCTTTGTATCAAAATCCTCATTTTCTTCACCTTCCAGTGGGATGTTGGGCGTGAAAAATTTTATTTACCTGCCTGAGAAGCAGCAAGACATAAATCTGTTCTTTTCCAGCCTGGAAAAGGGTAAATTCTGTTTGTGTGAGTGGCCAGCACTGCAGCCTGCACTGCTGGAGGAGCAGCTCCCCCTCCATCCCTGATTCTGCTCTCTCCCTGGGCCATGTCCTGCTCCGCTTGCTGCAGCAGCACAGGAGTTTCTTGAACATTTCCAGTGTATTTCCAACTGTTCTTGGCTCCTGCCCCCTGTCCTAGGCCCAAACAAAATGTTTCTCCATGGTAGGCTGTCAGTGGAGCTCAGGGAAGCAGGGAAAGCAGCTCTGATTTCATATCTAATTTGCTGTAAAATGAGAGGTGGCAAAAAGAGGAGTCTTTTTTAATTAGAAAAATGGAGGAAAAAAAAAAAAAACCAGCAAAAAAAGGGGACACTTTAGCCAGTACCGAGTTCCTCTGCAGTGCAGGAGTTTTCATGTGTGGAGCCCAGCCCTTGGTGCTGCAGAGGCTGAAATTTGATCAATATTGCTCTGCCTTTATTCCCGTTTCTCTTCCGAGCACTTTGGATCAGCTCCATCCTCCCCAGCTCCTGACAAGTGAGAGGAACAGAGGAGCAGAGGGCCAAGCTCTGACAAGAGAAAGCGACAGAGGGACTGTCCTGGGGTGACTTTATGATACTGGACTCAATTCCCTCCAGCATCATTTTCCCAGCCTGTTCCCATGTTGTCCAACCAGCCTTTCAATGGGATTCTTTCTCCCCAAAAATCTTTGGATCCAGTCAGCCTCTTGCAAAAACTTGGATGGCTCGAACCAGCAGCCCGTGGGTATTTCTGAGTGTGAAAGGGGAAAATTAAATATTAAAACTTGAATACGAGAGCTTAAAATTGAAACTTTAAACTGAAAATTTAAAAGATAAAAATTAAAAATTAAAAATTGAAAATTAACGAAGGAGATCATGTTCTCAGGGGATTGATCAGACTTGTGTGGATCTCTCAGGGCTGGAGCATCCAATTTAGGGATTTGAGGCACATCCAAGCCCTCTGTCCCTAAGGAGCATTCACAGGCACAAGGAATAGCCAGGCCCAGAGGTCTCTGCAGGAATAAAAACCTGAAATATCTGCACTGGAACCCTGAAACATCTGCACTGAAACATGTGCAGTGAAACCCTGAAATATCTGCACTGGAACCCTGAAATAACTGCCCTGGAACCCTGCAATACCCCAGGCAGACCAACCAGCTCTCTCCTAGCAAGGCCAGACTTAATCCAGGCTAAATTAGGCCAAGTGCGGACTTGGGCACCTGGTCTGGTGTTGTGACATCTTCAGTTAAGCCAGCATTCAAAGGTCTACCTGTGAAAAAACAAATAAGAAAATGGAGATTTGCAAGAAATTCTCGCTCTTGAATCAGGCTGCTCCTTCCTCCCCCAAAGCTGAGTCTCAATTAATGGAAATATTTATTTGGGTGACTTGCAGATGATGTCTCCGGCCAATTAGCTCCATCTCAATGTTCTATTTCTTGCCTTTGAATCAATAAACAGTTCAAGATTTCCTGGAGTCAGAGAAGCAGCGTCAGTGCCAAGAGCTGTGGGTGTATTAAAACCATCCCTACAACAATACCCCGGACCAGGGAGCTCTGCTAATCACTCCCTTCTTTGGCCGGGTGTCTGACAGAGCTGAAAGTCTCTGACACCCCCAAAAGAGGAAACCACAGCTTACAGAACCCAGGAAAAACATTTCCTAACCTCCAGGTACCCTTTGTTCTCCCTGCCTCCTGACAAGCACTCTTCCTCAGCACCACATACCTTGGATGCCTCGATAGGATTTGATGGTGGGGCTCAGGAGGTGGATGGGGATGAGTGAGGGATTATCTGCCATTTATCTTTCATTTCGTGGGGAGGGAAAATACCAAAAAAATCAGCAGAAAACAGGACACCGTGTTCCTGTCTATAATTTGAGCAAATTATTCCAGGTCGCTTTCAAAACCAGCCCAGAATTTGTGCGTGCACGCGGGCCCTGCTTGTGCCGCGCATGGGAGGAAGGAGGGAAAGGAGGAAGGAGGACACAAAATCCAAGTTTGGGACAGAGAATCCCACGGGGGCAGCTCTTTTGTCCCATTATTAGCACATCCCAAGCTCAGGAGTAAACTGGGAGGGTATTTTTGCCTAGGCCAAAGCCGGGCTGTGAAGCGAGGAGCAGCAGCAAGGCGAGCTCTGAGGCTGTGTGGGTGCTGCCGGAGCCAGGCCGCTCGGCCCCGCCGCCCGGGAAGCCGTTCCAGCCTGGAAGCTTTATGGCCATGTTAACATGGCTCCTCTCCACGGGAATTATTGCTTTGGGCCCGGAGCCACCACGGGAATGCAGCTCCACGGGCTGGGGCTGGCTCTGGGCCGGCTCGGGGAGCGCGAGGCGCGGCCTCGCCTCCGGCCTGCACGGCCTGCACCGCCCGGAGCAGGGCTCCCTGCCTGCCCCACGGCCTCTGCTCTGCTTTGGGATATCACCTTTTATATTTTCCATCTATTCTAACCCTAATCCTGCAGCTCTTCAGTGGATAACTCCAAACTCCACACACAGTGCCAGCTGCTGCTTCCCCATTGGGCTCAGACACAACAATTCCTCTCCAGGCCTGGCAATCAAGGACACCTCACTCAGGCCCCGAGAGATGCAAACAAAAGGGAGTTGGGGGCAGCAAACTTGGGGGAAATGACTTCATTCCCTGGAGCTGGAATTGGAAGATGAACCCCCAAGATGGAAATGGACCCAGCTTATAAAAGTGTGAAAGCCGTGAGCCCTCATCCATTTTGGGTGGGCTTCATCTGCCCAAAATGTCCCTGAAGGCCCTTCAATAAACAGAACTGCTTTTTATTCCCTTAACTTTGTTAATTTTTATTTCCCCTAATATTGTCTGTTAATTTTTATTTCCCCTAGTTTTGTCTGGCCTCTGTTTTCAGGTAACCCCAAGAAAGGGCTGGAATGCTGCACAGCTCGCCTGGACAGCTCCTGAGGAGACTCATCCCTGCAGGGTGCTGGGAATCAGCACAGCATTCTGACAGCAGAATGGGTTGAGGGCCGTGTTCTCCTTTGTTTTCCCCCCAAAATGGGACTGGAATGACTCGAAGCACCTCGTTTTTGCAGCCCTGCTGAAGTGGGAGCCGGTGGTGGGGCAGCTCAGAGGGCTGGAGTTACAGGGTTGGGATGTGGCCACGAATCAGGAGTTCAGGATCTCAGCACAATTCTGAGAATGAGCAAAACCATGGCGGGTGGAGGCGAGCACGAGCTGAGCATTGACAGAGAGACTTCAGGTGCAGCTGTGGGAACGAGCCAAGACCCAAAATACGCAATAAGGAACTTCCTGGTAAGGATGAACAGAGGAAAACCCAGGTAAGCCCAGAAACAGAGCAGCAGGGCAGCATCAGTTTGGTGACAGAGCAATTCAGATGACTCCAAGCTGTCCTGATTTCTCCTGCCCAGGAGAATATTCTGTACCAAACCCAACCACATGCAGCAGGAAGAGTCAATGTTGCCTGATCCAACGTGGGCTGGCTGCCTCTGGGCCCCTCCAAAGTGTTTTCTCCCTCAGAGAGGCCAGCACAGGTCACTTTTGGCTCCTCTCAGCCCCCAGCACCTCACACCTCTCCATGCACAGAGCTGTAGCCACAGCCAATTCAACCTTGTGCTGCTGCCAGGTGTGCCCAGCACCCTCTGTGCCATGGGATTGTCCCCAGCACCCCTCTGTACCATGGGATTGTCCCCAGCATCCCTCTGTGCCGTGGGATTGTCCCCAGCACCCTCTGTGCCGTGGGATTGTCCCCAGCACCCTCTGTGCCATGGGATTGTCCCCAGCATCCCTCTGTGCCATGGGATTGTCCCCAGCATCCCTCTGTGCCATGGGATTGTCCCCAACATCCCTCTGTGCCATGGGATTGTCCCCAGCATCCTCTGTGCCGTGGGATTGTCCCCAGGCAGAGGAGAAGCCCAAGGTGAGGAAGAGGAAGGTGATGGATGCGATGGAAGCTGGCTCAGAACTGCACCACGGGCAGGATGGAGGTGGATCTGGTTCCAGCCATTCCAGCTGCCTCTTGCAAGAGTAAATCACCATCCTGTGCCCTACAGAAATCCTGTCAATCACAGGAATTCTCAGAATTACTAGATTACTAGAATTAGTAATCTAGAATTACAGAATTACTAGATTTTAAATTCTTTTAGGGAATTATTTGGGGTTTATTTGAGGGGGGTTTGTGGGTTTATTCTTCTGGGAGTTGAAATTGAGCTCTGTAAATGGAGCTGTGTTTTATTTTTGCCCCTGTGACAACCGTGCAGCCTCAGGTCAGGATGACATCAAATCACCCCAAGTGACCAGAGACGAGGTGGGCAGTGCTTGGGGGGGTCCCCAGCTACAGCCCGGCAAGGATTAAATCATCCCCGTGCAACAGCACCAGGTTCTTGTCCCCTTCCAGCAGGCTGGCACCGAGTTCCTCCCTCCAGACACAGCACTGCTCGTGCTCCGACTGCTCCCAGCCCTGGGGAATCTCCCTCTCCCAGTTCCAGGGCTCCCAGCGAGGCTCCAGTCCTGGGATGAAGCATCTGGAGCCCAAGCACAGCAGCAGAGCCCGGGTTGGAGTCTGGAGCTGGCACATCAGCCGAGTCTGGCAAACACAATTTGGATCGCTCCTGACATTTTTTATTCCTTTTCCTCTCACAGCCTCTGTCTCCTGCACAGAGACACACATCCTAGACCTCGCTGTCCATTAGCTCCCAGCAGTTCTGTCCAAATCCCAAAAAAAAAAATCGGGAGGGCCCCTTCTGGTGGAAGCGAGAGGAGGAGGCGAGAGGAGGAGGAGGAGGAGGAGGAGGAGGCACCAAAGCCCGGCTGTGTCCCGTTCCCTGCTGCAGCAAATGGATGCAAAGCGCGCAGGCTGGAGCAGCCTTGGAGCATCGGCGGGGGAAGCGGAGCCAAGAAAGAACACACGGTGGTTGTGTGCAGCGGTGACACTTCAAGAAAAATCGCTTTGAGCCGTGAGCCCGATCACTTAACGGCAGCGGGCACCTTCCCAGATTTCCTGAATCCAACGTGAATTGCCTGAGGAAACGTCCCCCTCCCTCCTTCTGCCCGTCACACACACGCTGCCCCTCTGTCTCCCGGCTCTTTTACTGTGTTTACAAATTATGAACATTCTGGGGCAGTTAATTATGAAAATATTGGTGAGTCTGCCCGGCTGGCTCCTGCGTGGAGCCGGAGCCCAGAGGAGCCTGGAAAGGCGGTGAAAAATGAGCCGCTCGTGCTGCCGCTGGATTTTGGGGATGGAGGGGGAGATCCTGCCTGGCTCACAAGGGATGGGTTTTGGGGATGGATTTGGGGATCCTGTCTGGCTGCACAAGGGATGGATTTTGGGGATGGAGGGGGAGATCCTGCCTGGCTCACAAGGGATGGATTTTGGGGATGGATTTTGGGGATGGAGGGGGAGATCCTGCCTGGCTCACAAGGGATGGGATTTGGGGATGGATTTGGGGATCCTGCCTGGCTGCACAAGGGATGGGATTTGGGGATGGATTTTGGGGATGGAGGGGGAGATCCTGCCTGGCTCACAAGGGATGGGTTTGGGGGTGGCTTTGGGATCCTGCTTGGCTCACAAGGGATGGATTTTGGGGATGGATTTGGAGATCCTGCCTGGCTGCACAAGGTCTGCAGGCAGCAGGATTTGCTCTGCCGAGGACAGACAGAAGGGAGGTGGGGAGAATGAAATCTGCTCATTTTTAACCCTGGATGAATCCCTGCACAGGGACAGGAGCCAAATCCATCCCCAAATCCCATCCCTTGTGAG